GTGGTCTTTTCTATCTCATCGAGAAAATTCCTACCATCACAACCCGAAAAGATCAAGAGCTTTTTAGATTCACATGGAGAAGTAGGACATTTACTATACTAGGCTAGGCTATACAAGGATCAACATCAACTGGAAATGACACGTATTAATTGCCTCGTCAAAAAATCAACTAAATACTATTTGTAGAAGTGGGTTGACCTCGTTGTTGCAACTTGGTCTTGTTGTCAGGGCGACTTAGTAGAACTCATCTAGTTCGAATTCGCCTGCCATAGTAGTTATCATGATTACCAACATCAGCCAGAGGACTTGCTACATTCTCAAACGTTTCGCCGACATCGTAGTCGGTATCATCAGTGAGTTTTGCCATTCTCCGCACGAAGCTACGAACTCGTCAAAGAGACAAGTTAAGTCAATCCTTCGACAAGCGTTCTGCCGAAAACAGTTACATTATCACTCCTCTTTCTGTCCTAGCCTATCTATTTATTCTTTACCCTCTTATCCCCCTGCCTCCCTATCACAACTTCTCACTTGTTTACATTCCACTCGTCAAAATGTGTGCCCTATTGTGGAAAATCTAGTGTGGTCTCATCACACCTGCTATTCACTCCGACCCCCTCTTTTTCGATCGGCTGATCCGACTCGGGTCTGCAATCCGGATCTGCTTATTGTCTCGTAGATTCGTTCCTTATATTTCTGGTTGACCCATTTCGCTCTTTTCCCCTCCCAGTCTGCATTTTACTCCAGGACCTATTTCTCAAGGCCTTAGAAGCACGTACACTGCCGCTTCACTGAGCAGAGCGCCTAAGCAGACATTACCTTCATAGGTCCTCTCCTTCATTAAACCCATGTTATCTGAGCAAACTGTGGACGCCTATTTCTGATCGCATGCGGCATCTCAAGTGGATTTCTAGTACATTTTAGCCATAACGCCGAATTTTCATGACGGTTTGCTTATCCGTCTGCCTTGCTCCCTGACAGCCAGGACCCAAAGTTGTACTGGTTTATTCGAAACGGGCATCGCTCACTAACAACTTCTTCGCTTTATTGCCAAAAACCTCTTACCCCCCCTTTCTTCATCGCGATCCCTTTTCCTCCAGTTATCGGTAGATCCTTGATCCAGGCGTATCCTTTATGGCAGCACTCACTGCTGATGCCGACTTCGATACCGGCGAAACGTTTGAGAATGTAGCAAGTCCTCTGGCTTATAATGGGAATCATGACACTTACTATGGCAGACGACTTCGGACTAGATGCGTTATACTAAGTGATCCTGACAGCAAGACAAGTTGCGACAACGAGGTCAACTTTTCTATAAATCGAAAGGAGACTGCGAGCATACCAAGGCCACAACATCTTGGTCTTCATATCTTCAATTAGATACTATTTGATTTTTTCGTAATATTCTAGATCAACCTATTTTGAAAATAGTGAATTTGAAAAGGCATTGAACAGTTTCGAAAATATTTTGTTAAGGGATTGTGAAGATAGAATGTATGACATAATTAGTAACAAAATAAACAATTTATTTGATGCCTTCTCTGTCTAGTAAATAATAAGATAATTACTTTAACTAGTTTATCTTTCTATTATAGCTTCTCTTTGTTTTTCCTAATAGGGAGAGCTATTCTATGGAGAGGCTGGCTAATTAATTAATTTAAAAGTCCAGCTGCCAGAGAAATTTAAGAATAGTATAAAAGGGGGAATGATTACCCGTTTTAACAGGCACTTATTTCAAAGAATTCTTTGGATTTGAATGTGACTTCTTGATATTTGCACTTAAATAATAAGAGTGGAACATGTATCATCATGGCTTCGTTAAGGTTCATCGAAAAAATGCTGATCCATTTAAATGACGTGGAAACATACAAGATTTAGAGAGGTATAAGAACTGTGTTCATCATAATTCCGGGATTATTAGTTGAATTTTCCCGCAATCATAGGAATAGACCTTACTTTCCATTAAATTTCACATGGCCTTGCCCTTCAAAAGGTCTCATAGATCTCATAAATATCCTCAACGAGACTCAAACCATGACAGTGCAGAGTGAAATCTCAAAACTCTGAACATAACGCCACATTGCCACGAGTACCCTTCAGTCACAGGGAAGATGCAAATTTCAAGGAAGGCCAAACATTTCCCATTTCACATTTTGTGGTTGAATCGTCGATGCAGCATATTTACATTTAAAAGTAGATATCAAGGCTAAGATGTTGTGGCCTCCATTTTGGTCGCAGCCTCCTTTCGATGTATAGTTGTTGTTTGACCTTGTTTTCACAACTTGGTAATATTGAGAGTAAGACCTAGAGACACTAACCTTGTCCAGAGTAAATAGTATGCATGATAATCTCGAGAGTCAGACCTCGGA